CCAAGATTCAATCTTTCAAAATGTGGTTTCTCTGATTTCTCACCTTATAACAACATACCTGTACCATCTCTATACTGGTGCTGTAGACTTTCATTTGAAGGGGAAGGTATACTTATAAAAGTAATGTTGAAGTTCTCTCATGCTAGTTAAAACAGAAACCTATTTCTAAAACAATTCTAGTAATTCCCATGGAAAGTAAGGAAGTTTGTGGGAATCAATAACCCTTGCCTTACTATTTGCCTGGAAAAAACTAATTGTGAAATTGCCATTTACATAAAATGGAACACAAGGCCTTTTGGTGGCATTAGAAAATGGTTGTGTCAAGCTTCCACATGTAATCTATTATAAGAAATGCTAAGCTGATTGTGTATGTGTGTATGTATGTGTGTGTGTGTGTGTGTGTGTGTGTGTGCTGGTCTTGGGGTTAGATGTCAGTCCTGGGTGCTGTCCCTGAGCTTTCTCAAAGCTAGCATGCTTTAAGACACAACTGTACTTCTTTGGGTGGTTAACTGAAGGTAAGAGTCTCATGGACTTGTCTGTCTGGGCTGGCTTTGAACTGTGATCCTCAGATCTTACCTTCTTGAGTAGCGAGGATTATGGGTATGTGAACCACCAACTTGCCAATAATCTGACTTTATTTTTCTTTCAGTCATGGGGCTTGAATTCTGGGCCTAAACGCTGTCCCTCAGCTCTTCAGCTCAAGGCTAGCGCTCTACCACTTGAGCCACAGCGCCACTTCTGGTTTTCTGGTGGTTTATTGGAGATAAGAGTCTCATGGACTTTCCTGCCCGGGCTGGCTTTGAACCGTGATACTCAGAGCTCAGCCTCCTGAATAGCTAGGATTACAGGCAATAAGTACTGGGGCCCAGCTAATCTGACTTTTTAAAAAGAGATTTGCATTCAGTGTTACAGTGGCAAGGTCAGAAAGCTGAGAGAAAAAATCATCTTGTTTACAAAGGAAGAGAGAGAGGGAGGAGAAAGGAAAAAGGAGGCAAGAAAAAGAAAAGAAAAAAGAGACTAGAAGGGGAAGGGAGGAAGAAAGTGAGGAAGACAAGGACAGTTTAGTAAATTGCTTAAGTTCAGGCAGCTCACTCCGAAGCACTGATAAGAGGTCCTTACTATCTCACTAGAAGCAAGCCAAAATACCACTGCGATTCAGAACAAATGAGCCATTTATGTATCTGGTGTATCTTTTGAGGCAGGCAGATGGGTCAGAGATAATAAAGTGAAAAGATAATTCTTGGGACTAAGACCTAGTTGCCAGGACTGGCAAGACTGTGCAAATCTGGTTGGTTAGTTGACAAGGATTGCTGTCTTACTTTTACCATTCCCCCCCTAGTGGTCCATCACTCAACTCCTGCTCCTCTGTTCTACAAGGAGCTCCCATCCTAGCTCTTTGCAAAGCAGCTGCCTGTGAAATTATATGACTACAACTGAGTGGAGTGAGGAGATATTGTGCCAAATTTTCATTTCCAGGCATATTTCTAATTGTAGAAAACAAGTCTTGATCTTGTTGAAAGAATTTAGGTATGAGTCCAACAGATGGGAGAGATGTGTGGTCCAGGAAACCTTCCTGGCACCCCTAGAATGAGAGGGTATCTTCACATAATGCCCTAAGCAGGCTTGATTTCTAAGGAAAAAAATCAAAGGAAACAATTCTTGTACCTCTAATGAAAACCTGGAAACTGTTATTCTAGATGATCACTGCTGTGGCTCCATGAGTAAATGGGCCCTGGGATCTGTACACTGGTTCATTAGTAGAGAAGCTAGAAAAATCACTCTTTGCCTGCCTGCCTGCCTGTCTTCTCTGTTTGGAAACTGAATTCAGAGCTTTGAACTTGCTAGGCAAACATCTTGCCTGGGCTGGCTTGGACCACAATCTTCCTACCACTGCCTCCTGAGTAGCTGGGATTACAAATGTTACCATCATGCCTGGCTTCTTCTTGGAGATAGGGTCTTAATATTTTTTCTTTTCTCCCATGGCTTTGAACTTCAATCCTCTTATATTCCCCATTCAAGTAGCTCTGGTGGATCTTTAATAAACGTTTGGGCTGTTTACTTTTAAAATGCTTATAATTAAGTTTTTTTTGGGGGGGGGTCGGGTCATGGGGCCTGAACTCTGGAACTGCACGCGTCCCTCAGCTCTTCAGCTCAAGGCTAGTGCTCTACCACTTGAGCCACAGCACCACTTCCAGCTTCTTTTCTTTTTTGCTTATGTGGTGCTGAGGAATTGAACCCAGGGCCTCATGCATGCAAGGCAAGCGCTCTACCACTGAGCCACCTTCCCAGCCCTGTAATTAAGTTTTATACCAAGAGTATTTTTTTGTTGTTGTTGTTGTTTTTTGGGTCCAGTCGTGGGGCTTGAACTCTGGGCCTGGGCGCTGTCCCTCAGCTCTTCAGCTCAAGGCTAGCGCTATACCACTTGAGCCACAGCGCCACTTCTGGCTTTTTTCTTTTTGTTTATGTGGTGCTGAGGAATGGAACCCAGGGCCTCATGCATGCAAGGCAAGAGCTCTACCACTGAGCCACCTTCCCAGCCCCCAAGAGTATTGTTAAACATGAATTACCATGAGATTAAATTTTTGTATCATGTAGCAGGAACTGGAGTATGTTTTTATGTTTTTGTTGGGCATCGGGCTTGAACTCTGGGCCTGAGCTGTTCAGCTCAAGGCAAGTGTTCTACCACTTGAACCATAGCACCACTTCAGGTTTTCTGGTAGTTAATTGGAGATAAGAGTCTCACAGACTTTCCTGTCCAGGCTGGCTTTGAACCATGATCCTCAGATCTCAGCCTCCTGAGTAGATAGGATTACAGGCAAGAGCCACTGGTGCTCGACTTGGAGTATGTTTTAAAAACGAAAAGAAAATGCAGGGGAGAAAGAGGCATTTTCTTATTGAAGGAGGGTATGTAGTAGGTGACCTTGGGGGTGAGCACTGGGAAACCTTCAGTCTACAGATAATACTCACATATTCTAAGTAGTGAAATGCAATGCTGGTAGAGGATTAAGAAGATCTCAGGGGATTTTATGATTGGCAGATGAGTTTCAGTCGGAGTACATGACGGCAATTCATTTAGGGAAGGCTACAAACCATACTTCCAGGCTTATGAGTAGTGGCCTTTCAATTAAGGCCAAGCCAGAGCTCTAGGAAACTCTGTGGATGGTGCCCTTAAGAGAATAATCTAGTTTTCTAGTACAAAAAAAAAGACAACAAATTTTTGGGCATGGTCAAGAAAGGAATAAAGACAAAGTAAGTTTCTGATTATAGAGAACCAAAAGACTCATTCGTTGGCGAAGTTACATAAAAGCAGCTCTGATCTGCACATCTCAAGGACAGAACAGAGTCTGAGGGGAACAAAGAAGAGCAATTAAACCATCAATGTTAGGTTCCAGTCTAACAATACAGAGGCAGCCAGGGCACAAGATGAAAATCTTGAAGGGGCTAGTGCTGCAGAATGATTGAGGGAAGGATTGATTGGCTGGCCAAATCTCTTAAGCTAAGAGGCACCTTTGAAGCATGAAGTTTTTCATTTTTAAGTAGTTCTGCTTTGTTTATACAACTGCCAGTGATGGTGGCCAGTGTGGGCAGGCTCCTTTGGGAACCCTCTGTTTGCCAGTAGAACTTGAGAGAAGAACCGTGAGCCCAGCAAGGGAGGGATCAGGAGTATCTCAAGCCCTGCTGCTGACCTGTAGTAGTTAGGTTGACTTGACTTCTAGGGAGACTCACTTTTTCTCTTGCCATTGGCAGCAGTGAGTTTATTTATACTTGAAATCTCAATTTTTGCAAATAAGAGCTTAACATTCCACCACATTCTGTAGGATGTGTCCATATCAATGGCCTACAAATCAAACTGTCTATATAAGTATCTGTAATTTGATCCTTGACTTTAAGGTGAAAACAGATTTGGGTCAGTGGCTGACACCTGCAATCCTAGCTATGCAGGAGGCTGAGATCTGAGGATCATAGTTAAAAGTCAGCTTATGCAGACAAATCCAGGTGACGCTTATCTCCAATTAGCCACCAAAAAGCTGGAAGTGGAACTGTGGCTCAAGTAGTAGAGCAAGAACCTTGAGTGGAAAAGCTAAGGGACAGTGCCTAGGCCCTGACTTCAAGCCCCATACCAATACACACACACACACACACACACACACACACACACACACACACTCCAACCATCTTTGGGGCTAATGTACCTCTATTTTGTAGTACACACTACAAAATGGAGGTACATTAGCGCATGTACAAGGCCCTGGATTCCATCCCCAGTACTACATGCGCACACACATGCACACACACACACATGCACACACATTTCTGACTACAATTTTAGCACCATGGATAGAATGCATGATAAAGAATTATAATCAACTCTAGCAGGGAACCACTGGCTCACACATCTATAATCCTAGCTACTCAGGAGGCTGAGATTCAAAGGATTAAGGTTTGAGGCCTCTGCTGGTAGAAGAGTTAACAAGTACAAGGTACTAAATTTAAATCCTAGTAATGTAGAGAGAGAAAGGGGGGGGAGAAGGAGAAGGACAAAGGGAGAGAGAAGGAAAGAGGAAAAAGGGAGGGAGGGAAAGGGGGGAGGATTATAGTCAAATGTAAAATTCACAATAGTTTAGGGAAGGAAGGTCTCCATAAGGGGAACAGAACTGTACTCCATCATATTAAAGAAGTTACACACAATAGGTTTCTTTGGCTAAGAAAGTAACAGACAAATGCTTCCCCAAGACAACCTAAAAGCTTTTCTTTGGGGATGGTCTTAATCATATGGAATAGGAGGTACACGTGGAGCATGACTTGGTTTAGCTGCTCAGCTCTCCCCAACAGAGGGTTGCTACCCAATCAAATAATCAGAATGAGCAGTAGCTAAAAGCTATGTATTCATGCAGTTGTTTTTTTTTTCAAACTGTTCCTTGCAAACAAGAACTCTGATGATATCACTGTATCCCACAGAGATACCATCTACTTGCTACTAGCTCAGGTTCCTGCCATACCTTTCACAGATGTGGTAATACCTCTCGTCCTGTATGCCATCCTGAATAGGCACATTCACACTGTAGTAGCGTCCTTTCCCTAAGCCTACATCAGACACATCACCTGTACCTGTGATAGAGAGAAACATTGTGATCAGCTATTAAAAGCACAACAACTCAGAAAACTTAAAGGATTTTCTGGCAGCAGTTGGGAAAACTAAAACAATTACTTTGGAGAATATTTGAAATTAGTGATGAAAAAGAATGAAATTAAGAAAAAGAATACGGAGATGTAACAAGTACAATGTTAGGGAAAGCAGGAAACCCATAAAGGCACTGAAGTTTCCATCTTACTGAATGGGATATAAAAAAAGAGATTTAACCTTTTGCTTGAGTTTTTGTATGTCTTAGGTGGATATAATATCAATAAACTATTAAGGTGTCCAGACCAGCCTGGCCTACCAATAGCATAGTAAGTGTAAGTGACATGTCTGTTTATAGTCCATAAAAATCATCCAGAAGGAGCAAGCAGTGTTATTGTCATTCCTCTTGTTATTGTCACTTGAAGTGAGAGTTTTAAATTTTTGCATAGACTAGCACCAATAAGAGATAAGTAGCATGAGAATAGTAGAATTGTGGCGAAGAATCACAGTATCTATTCATTAAATGTATAGGAAGCACAGAGATCACTTGCCTGGGAAAAATCCTGGAGAGAATTTGTGCAGGGACACAGTCATGACTTTAGAGGTGAAACTGAAGGCATCTTCTACACCTACCAGAGAAAGAAACATCAGAGAGATTACTGAATAGGTAGGTCTCTTGTTTGCAACATCTGAAAAATCTTGAAAACAGCTGTAGAAAGTGGAGGAGATGAGAAAGCAGCTCATTACTGAAAGCAGCACACATCCCCGGTTTCCCATATTTGCAATTACAAATGTGTTAAAACTTGGGCTCCAAGTGACCTTTGAAGGTACCTTTTCGAATCCATGGCAAAGTATAACCAGACTTCCCCTTTCTGAATAACGGGATCCCTGGGCTCTCCTTGACTTGTGCTCTGAGTGGTGGGGAAAAACAAAGGCCCAAGACTGAGGCATTGTCAACAGAACTGAACAGAGAGAGCTAGCACTAACTTTCTTCTCTACTGTTTTGTGTAAGTGACTCTAGTTCAATGCTTAAGATTGTTTTTTCAAAGAAGTATAATAACTCTTTAAAAACATATCCAATACAAACATTAAGCATTATATAGTGAAAAGCGAATTATGAAGTGCCTCTCTCTAATGCAGATTTGGTTATAAATGCAGACTGCCTGAATTTCCCTTGGTACTTGGTACCTAGTATTGTATAGCTCATCTTCTGGTTAAGATACTGAAAACAGAAAATAGTCAAGGCCTTGTCCTTTATAGCATCTTTATTCCAGAAGGATTTTTTTTAAATGTGGTATTAGCATTTGAATTTAGGGCCTTGCTAGGAAGGTGCTCTACTACTGGAGCTCTGTCTCCAGCCTATTTTACTTTAGAGTTTGAAGACAGTTCTGTCTTGCATACATGTCCAGACAAGCCTGAACTATGACCCTCCTCCTATTTATGTCTCCTCCCCTATATGTGGGCTGATCTTCCTTTTAATACTTCAGTAGCTGGGATAACAAGTATGTGCCACTATGTCCAACTTATTTGTTGAGATGGGAGGTCTCACTTTTTGCTTCAGTTGCCTTTGACCTATGATCCAGATCCCTCTGAGTAGCTGGAATTATAGGCATTAGCAACTACACTCAACTACAACAGTTTTAAAGCCTGGAGGAAGACTAGAGGAGAGGCTTTTGGCTCTTTCTGTTGTAAAAAGTCAGAACATAATGTCTAGGTATAAAAGTTGCAATTTATAGTAACCTTCACAAAGCTACTACTTACATGATAACTGTACTGCCCACAAGTACCCCTTTCCTCTCAGGATTACCTAATGTCATACTGTTGGTCACATAATTACTTTGTAAAATGGAAGAACAATTAGCAAATTCAGGTATCATCCTCTTACATTCCAAACAACTATTTTTGTCTCTGTGTTGACTTAAATGCATTCAGTCCTCATTAGAGGCCAACAGAGATCTTAAAAATAATATGAAGTCTATTTGGATATAACAGGTATGTTTGAATTTCCCAAGCCTTATGCTTTGCTCTAGGGAAGCAGTTAAAACCAGTTAGAGGCCCCAGGCAAAAAGTATGAAGGAGACTAAATGAAACAACACAAAATATCTTTTCAAGTTAGAAACAATTATACTGCATGAAAATCCAGATTATTTACCCATCAAGAAACTATTAATTTATACCTCAGCCAAATGTGTGTGTGAATTCTCTGCAACCCCTTCCTCCCAATGACTGGATTTGTTATTTTTAATCTTAGGCGGAAAAAATAATATGCATTCCTAATTTGCATTTCCTGAAGAATTAGGGTATAGACCATCCTTTTATCTATATCTAGTATCCATTTGTTTTTTTTTGAATGGGGTGGTAGAAATACTACTGGGCAGTTATAAAATCATACTTTCAATTGCCATAGTAAGAGGTGGAGGAAATGGGGTAGTGTGAAGGAGAGTGGTGAGCGAAGCCACCCGGGGAGGTTAGTGATGGAATCATGGGAGATTTAAAAGAAACCAAATGTGTAAGAGTTTGGGGGTGGGGCAGGGGTCACTAGAAGGGAGGTGCTGAAGAGGGGAAATAAACTGAAATGAAACACACCATAAAAGTTGGCTGAAACAGGAAACTCTAAATGGTGTAGAAATAACACTGCAAATGGAAAGAACGGTTTCGGGTGACAGTCTTATTTTGTTCTTATATAGTTTAACAGAGTTGGTTCTATTCTTGAACTCTGAATTTCATAATCATTCATTCATATGACAAAAATTTTACTGAACCACTATTACATGCAGAGTACTGTTGGTTCAATTCATTGTACAGAGAGAAAGATCTCTACTCTGGAAGAATTTAAAGTTTCTATGGTAAGAAATGACAGTTACACTAAAGTTTAACAATACAAAATAATGCATAATTAAATAACAATCAGTGATACAAACAATACAGGATTTAAAAGGCAGAAGGGAACCCTTTAGGCTGGAATGGGCAAAGAAAATCTGTCACTGCGGGGATTTGAACAAAGGTAGAAGCTGGAGCTGCAAAAGCGGAGGAGGAAGCAAAGGTAAAGAAAAGGGAGGCAAAGGTAGGGATCTGGAAAGAGACTTGCTCATTCAGTAGACCGAATGGACAATGAGTAGTGAGAAATAGGATAGCTAAAATGAGAAGAGGCCTGATGGAAGTCTTGAAAGACAGTACTGAGGACTTTATAGGGAAGATCATTGCTTTTCAAGGTGTGGCCTGAAGAACAATCAGAATATTGTTATAATATAAATTCTTTAACCTACTTAATCTGAATATTTTGGGTGTGTAGCCCAGTAATCTGTATTTGAAAACATCAGTCACCCTTGCTGTTCAGTCAAATTTGAAAACCAAAGGACTAAGGTGTGCTGACCAAAATAGAGAGAGTGGGTGGGGGCAGGGAGAAATTGCCTCAGACCTAGAGTCAGAAAATTTAAGTGGCTAGTAAACATTCTAGACTTTGTAAACTATATAAGGTTACTATTATACAGTGTATGTGTGTGTGTGCGCACACGCATATGTGCATGTACACACATAACACTTTTATATACTTTCACAACCTTTTAAAAGTGGTAAAAAATTTCTTAACTTACTGGCCATATAAAAATAAGCCATGGGTCAGATGGCTTTCCTTGTTATAGGACGTAGGGCCTCAGAAAGGTTTTGAGTACGGTCAAGGTTATATTCAGTTCAGTTAATGTGGTTCTCAAAGTAGTATATTATTTTAACCCTTCTCTCTCCACTCTGTTACCTTCAGTTTTCTGTCATAGATCATGTGTTTCTAGCATCCAGGCAGGTAAAGCACCTTGGGGGAGGCTCCCTGACAAAATTTATTCCTTCTGTTTCTATTCTGGCAGCAAAGCTAACCTTAAGCACAGACATATATTATTGTTTTCCTCCCTTATGCTGTGATGTTAGTCTAGCTAAAAAAAATAACTCCTAGAAATAGGGAAGCATTAACCACTAATGTGGAGAGGGGGCAGGATAGTCTTTAATAATTTATTGCATGAAATGCTTTGTGTCACAGACAGGACTTCTTAGAGAAATAGAATGTGGCAACTGTCCCTGGAAGTCTACATTCTAGGTAGAAAATGTGCAGGAAGTTTAGGAAAGTCCATCTAAATTGTTAAGAGAGTGTGGTATTAGCCAGGAACTGGTGCCACTTCTGGATTTTTCTGCTTATGTGGTGCTGAGAAATCAAACCCAGGGCTTCCTGCATGCAAGACAAGCACTCTACCACTGAGCCACCTTCCCAGACCCCAAGAAGAATCTTGATAAAAGTACTGATGAAAAGACAGAGACAGCTCTAAGCACAAATTTCCCTTAGAAGTCATGATAAAAGACCCTGTGAAGCCAGGCACTGGTGCCTCACACCTGTAATCCTAGCTACTCAGGAGGCTGAGATCTGAGGATCAAGGTACAAAGTCAGCCAGGGAAAGAAAGTCCGTGAAACTCTTATCTCCAATAAACCACCAGAAAACCATTAAGTGGCACTGTGGCTCAAGTGGTAGAGCACTAGCCTTAAGCTGAAGAGCTGAGGGACAGCGCCCAAGCCTAGAGTTCAAGCACCCATGACCTACCAAAAAAAAAAAAAGACCCTGTGAGGTGCCTGCATAAGGGTAAACACTACTAGGTTTTAGTGTTTTCTATATACAGCTTTGTCACAGGGAGAAAGGAGAGTAGAAATGACAGGAGCGTGGCTTGAGAAGCAAAGCAAGAATTGAATCAGAGGAATCTCTCTGCACTTCCTACTTTAGAAATCTCAGTTAGTAAAACTACATTTGCAACAGGTATTTCTTCTAGAAGGAACTTTACTGATCTAAACCTGCTGTACTAGCATCTTTGAAACTGAAGGGCTTACCATCGCCATGGTGCAGATCCAAATCCACATAGAGAATACGTTCAAATTTCCGTCGCAATCGTAATATTCCCAGGACAGCATCATTGAGATAACAAAAACCAGATGCTTCATCTCTGCAAGAAAATAAGTTGCTAGAGCCAACAGCCACAAAACAGTCCAAAGGAGTCTTTAAAGCCAAGGATCTAACCCTGGAGATCTAGTCTCTTAAAGTCTTTCGTTCTTTTAAGAAAAACAAAAATCCACATATAAGGATTACATAGCAAATGGTCCAGAATGATCAAGGAATGAAGTGTTTGGGTAAAAGGAAATATTCATGTGGATTGGTAACATTTTCCATTTAGGAACCCAGATTTTCATAGCATAATTCAGCAAGACAGAACTTTTCTCTGATGACTTAGGAATTACTTTTTTAAAAAAGTGTAAATTCCCTGGGGTCATTGTGATGAACCCTCCCAGAACCATAAGAAAGCTAGCATCTACTTATAACCTTAACGACAGTATCATAGATGATAAATATTGGATACTCTGTACAGACCCTATGATATAACTTACAAGTTGTTTTCCTTTAATTTTCTAATATGTCTTGGCACTTATTGCTCATAAAAGTTGAGTGTACAATATACAAATGAATAACCTCCTGGGCAGCATAATATTGTATTTCTGTAAATGTAATTACTACAATGAACAGTGAAGCAACCTTTTCTAGTTATTTTGCTTCCTTCAGAAAAACTGTTGTCATGGATTTCACTAGTGTCCTTTAATGTGTTTTGCTATTAGTACTATTGCATCACATTACTCTCTTATCAACATTCACCTGTTCTTTTATTATATTTCCACTATGCCTCGCTGATTAGATGTAAAAGAACACTTTATCATCAACTTCTAAGGCTGTATGTCCAAAGTTGAAGTTTCTTTGCTTCCACAGATACTTCAAATATCTAGTCTATTATTTTTCAAAAAGTGCCCTATGATTTTATTTGAAACTGAATTCTAGACATGAACATTTTAAATGGCATCTTTGCCACTGAGAGAAATCTTCCTAGAACTTACAAATGCCAAAAATTCTTTATGAAATCTACCACTAGATTTTACCATAAAATTGTGTGTTCTACACAAAGCCCTGGTTCATAGGCAGAATCAACAAGACAGGTACACTGATGAACAGGAAGCTGGAAAAATATAGGGATAAACTGCTGCACTGAAGTGACCCCAGATATCGAGACAAAGAATAATTTGCCCCCAGACAGGTGCTAGTGGCTCACATCTGTAATCCTAGCTGCTTAGGAAACTGAGATCTGAGGATCACTGTTCAAAGCCACCCTGGGAAGGAAAGTCTGTGAGGCTCTGATCAGAAGTAGAGGTGTGGCTCAAGTGATGGAATACTAAGTTCAGAGACAGTGCACAGCTCCTGAGTTCAAGCCCCAAGGCGCGTGTGTGTGTGCGCACGCGCATGCGCGCGCGCACACACATGAAAGTAATTCAGCCATCTATTAATTCTCTATAAATAAGAATTAAATATGTGCCCGGCACTGATGGTTTACACCTGTAATCCTAGCTACTCTCCCATGGACCAGGAGATTTATGGAGTTGCGTAAACAAGGGAATTATCCAATTTACCCAACTCCATAAATCTCCTGGTTCATGAGAGAGTAGTGAGGGTAGCTTACACCTATAATCCTTGCTACATAGGAGGCTGAGATCTAGAGGATCATGATTTGAAGCCAGCCCAGGCAGAAATAATTGTTAAAAACCAGGCTGGAAGCATGGCTCAAATGGTACAGTGCCAGTAATGAGTGAGCAAGGAGGAAGCTTTTAAAGGGCTAAAAATGTTCCTATAAAAACAATTGTAAATGTTTTAAGAATTCAAGTTTGTATAATATAGGTCATTTTGACAAATAAGATTAATTCAGTACCTTTTACTTCCTAAACCAGTTATATCTTTTCTGATGTGTCAATGTTACATATAACATATAAGTAGATTTATTTATATACTTCTAGATGCTTCAGATTTGAAAACTGAAAATTTGTTTAACCAAATTGAGTCATTATTATAACAAACTTTATCTCAATAGTAATTATGTTTCATAGCTTATCAGTTTGAAGATAATTTATAAAATATTTAAATAACTGCAAACTGTGGGCAGATGCCAGGCTAAAATAATGGATAAATTCATTAAATACTTAGATGATTTCTCAGTAAAAGAAAGCCAAATCAATAATTACTACATATAACTCTAGGATTATCTGCATTTTCTTCCTACTTTTACATATTATGGGAAGATATATATTCTTTCTCTTTCTCTCTCTAGCTCTCTCTCTCTCTCTGCTAGCTAGCTATTAGAATCTGTTAATGAATGTATTCTTTTGAGTTACTTAGAGACTATTACTAAAAGGATGTGTTTGGATATAAAAAGTTGTAGATGGTCTGTGGGAAGAGAATTTTAATTATTCAGGTCAAATATGGCTAAGGTTTGACAAGATTATAAGTTCATAAAAAGAACTTTAGTATCAAATATACTGATGAAAATGAGAATTTTGTTATTTCTCTTTTAAAATGGCAATTTAAAAATTGGGTCTGTTCTTTTTTGGCCGGACTGGGGTTTGAACTCAGGGCTTCACACTAGCTGGCCAGGAGTTCTACCACTGAATCTTACCTCCAGTCCCTTTTGCTTTCATTATTTGTTTGTTTATTTTTGCTTTCGTGGCTTTTCGAATAGGGTCTTGTATTTTGCCCTGGCTATCCCAGTCCATGTAGGATAACAGGAATGTACCACTTAGCCCAGCTTTTTATTAGATGATGGGGGGAGGGAGGGGTGCATTGTCAACTTTTTCCCAGGCTGGTCTCAAACAAATACCCTTCTGGTGTCAGTCTCTTGCATAGCAAGGATTACAGGTGTAAGCCCAGTGGGCCTGGCTTATTGGTCTGTTCTTAATAACAAGTAGGAAAACATTTGTTTCACCTTTTTCTTGAATTCAGAGCTTAGGAGTTGTCCCTTAGCTTTTTTCACTCAGCTGGTATTCTACCACTTAAGCCATACCTCCACTTCTGGGTTTTTGGTGGTTAATTGGAGGTAAGAGTCTCACAGACTTTCCTGCTTGGGCTGGCTTTAAATTAAGATTGCCATATCTCAGCCTCCTGAGACGATAGCCTGTGTCTTGGGTGCCTACCTTGCTTCTGAATAACCTTCCCAGATAATGAAAATTTTTATTTAGCCAGGGCAATATTCTATAGTTTCCTGCTTTTTCCTTTTCCTTCTTTTGTTTTTATTCCTGCCATGCTGGAGATCAAACCCAGGCTTCAATCATGCTAGGCAAGTGCTCTACCACTGAGCTACATGTTCAATTCTCCTCTATAGTTTATATTGATTTTATGATGTCCTTGATTACTTAAGAAAGGCAAAATCTTCTCAGGAAAAACCTAACATTTTTTTACAATCATTTTACTTCCTATGTTTATATTTAAAACACTTTATTATCATTTTGCCAGAACAGAGAGCAAAGTATTGTTTTTCAATAACCCAATCATGCTACCTTAATCATGTCTGAGAGGACCCATGGAAAATCCTGAATGATTTCTTTCACATTGTAAAGAGACACTGACAATCCTTAGGTTTGATGTGCTACTACTAAATGCGAAGAGATTTCAATTTAGAAGATAAACTCATTTCCTTCCCTAGCTTAAATTGGTAAAATGTTACTAATATAAATATTTCAGAAATTGTATGTTGAGTGGGATATTGCTATAGATTCATCCATTTTCTCACTCGCTGTAATAAATTTCTACTTGTCAGTCCAGCTGCTGCTTTGTCAAACATTGATTGGACAGTTATAGTGTAGTTATCGAGATGTGTTCAAGACCCCTAGTGGATGCCTGAAACTGCAAATGATACCAAATACTGTATATACTGCATATACTTTACTGCATGTATGTACTTTGATGAACTCTAATTCATATTAGGCACAGTAAGAGATTTATAATAACTGATAATGTAATAGAACAATTATCAAACTATACTATAATGAAAGTTATAAGAGTGTGGTCTTTTTCTCTTTCTCAAGATATCCTTTTTGGGTCCACATGGAACTGAACTCAGGACCTTGAGACTTCTAAGTAGATCCTTTACCACTTGATTCAACCCCCCAGTCCTTGAAATACTTCCTCCTTCTTCTCTCCTCCTTTATCTTTCTCTTTCGCATTTTCTTCCTCTTCTTCCTTTTTTTAATGGTAGTACTAGGGTTTAAACTTGGGTCCTTAGGCTTGCTATGCCACACATCTAGTTTAGTTTTTGCTGGTTAGTTTGGAGATAGAATCTTGAAAACTCTTCTGTCTTGAGTCAGCCTTGAACCTCAATCCTTCTGCCCTCTGTCTCCCATGAAACTAGGATTATAGGTATGAGCCACTAGCACCTGGTTCAAATACCTTAATGTACTTTGATGACCATAAATGAGCACAGGGAACTGAACTTGGAGAAAGTGAGATCATGGATAAAGGTGAGTGAGGGGTGTTGTACAGTGTTTGCAGTCAGAATTTCGGTTTCTTAAAAAAAATATTAACTTGAGCTCAAATTTTCTCCTTGATTTTGCATCTAGCATCTTTCTCATCATTCTATGCTATTGGGATTCACATCACTTACCCATTGAATTTTATGCATCAGCAAATGTTTAAAACATTTCAGTTGCTAAATTGCTTTACATGATATTTCTGATATATATTGGATATATTCAAGCTATCTGCTTGGCATATTCATGGTATATTATATCAGGATTGTTCTATGTTTTAGCTAAGTCTTTTCCCCTAGAAAGATTGTGCTCACACACTTTTATAAATTTGGCATAAGATTCCCTCTTCTTTGAAAATTGGGTTAATCACTATGTTTACTGATAATTTGCCAAAAATTTATTTGGGATTGACTTTTATCTTGTTTTACATGCCACTGAAACAACTACATTTCCTTGTCAGCTGCATTATTATTCTTGTAATGAACTCTCATCAGATGTTTTCCCTTTTGAAAATGATCAGTAATAAGGTAAACACAGCTATTATAAGTCTTTTGTCACCTTCAGATTGCTTTTTATGTTTTACTCTCATGCTTCCCTGAAAGTTTTCCAATCA